GATTATTGCTTTCAGGGGAATACATTCACAATCTTCATTGTGGATGGAATATTATTGGAGCGGACAGGACCATGCTTGAATTACAAATAATGAAGTTAGACACAGAAGAATTGAATGCACCACCGGGAATACTCGATGCGAGTGGATCGCGATGCGTGGATGCGCTTACGGTAAGCCTGCTGTAGTAGTTCAGGTGAACACCTGGAAGTCAGTGCTGGACTATTTCAGATCTACGACGGCTACAAGTCATTCTCACCAGTTTTGGCTAGTGACCTCTGTGAGGATACGGTTGGAGCGAAACTGCCACTGACGTACCATACATCACACAAGTAAGTTATTTTCTATTGAGTTATGACGTATTGGCAACTATACATATTCAGGGTTGCCCATGTCTACTTTGAGAGTGATATGAGTGGATCAGGAACTGGCTTTGAATTAAGATATCGAGCCATAGAACGTAAGCTTTGTCTGTATCATCTAGTCACATCATCTAGTTATGAATTTACTCATTTGCAGCCGACTGCGGAGATTGGCTCATAGCAACGAACGAGCCACAAATTCATAGTTACGAAAGCAAAGGAAGCAAAGGTATGACCTGACTTTTACTTCAAAAGTTCAGATTTATGTTTTATATCACGTATCATTAGAATGCTAGGATGATCTCTGGACTGGAAACGCATCCCAAAGCAATTTCCCTCACTATTTTTAGTTCTTGTCCTTTGGCAATACAGACTGATTAATCTTATTTATCTGCATTAACCAAGTATTTGAAAAGCTTGACTTTCCGGGACCATACAATTGTGTTTCTATCACGTTTGCACCTAATCGTGCAACATTTCAGATAAACATGCTGGTCAAACAAACCAGCGATGCCAATGGGTAATACAATCGCAGTCACAGGTGCCCATATGGTTGCACTTCAGGTACATTATCTTAGCTATCGAATATGTTCAAGAAGTCTTAGTACTACGAACGAAATACTGAGGAAGTGTTACTGGTTCAAAATAAACATGCACGTTAAACTAAAGTGCTCTATGTGCATTTGTAGAGATGAATGTGCTCTATGATCAAGGTCTTCTAAAAGGTAAAATGCGATAAACCCATCTCATACAATGACACTTTTGTGAAAATTACCTGAATACCTCGTTGTAATCAAAAGAAGTTACCATCTTAAAATTTCCACTTTACTATTGGCCACGGGTATAAGAAAAGAAAATCTGCTCTTGCCTCTAAAATTCTATATGCTTTATTCTGGAAAATGGAAATATGCAGGCAATTAAATCCGAAGGTGGATCTCTGCCATCCTTTTTAGCACAATACATTTCCCATCAACTGATGGAGATTGTTCGGACGCATACATAGAGATTCGTGATGTTGGCTTAATCTCAAAATGTCAGCATCCCGCATGCGCTCGAGAACCTTCAGAACGGAAGGTATATTTCATAATTATTGTTTGTTGCTTTACTGCTTTATGGCTAATTTCAGACATTCCGAATATGCGGCAGCACCCCATTCCCACCATATATATCGAATACAATGGCTGTGCAGGTAACAGAGAGATTAGAGTTTTCCCTTATTTTTCCATATTTCCCACCTCTTTTCCCTTATTTTTAATGTTTCGTTATAAAGAAGAAAGGGCAAGTCCTTCCGAATTTAATGTATTATAAGAAATCACTCAAATACCTTTAGGAGCACAGCATTTCAGTTCCCCTCTAGCTATTTTTTTTCCATATGTTCAATCCCATTCTAATGTCAAGCGGAATTC